CTAGCCCCAGCTTGAGCTTCTCATGTACTACAAACTCCTGAGCAACAGAGGTAACTCTACCACTAACTAACAGAATTGATACATGCCCACTGTTTTAACCCCATATTTTCATTTGGCAACACTCACCTGAATGCTGAAGGTATTTCCCAAAACCTCACACTCTTCTAACAACACAAAATCAAAAATACTCAAGTACAGGAAGCATATAATTCTAATCAGTTTCTCAGCAGTATCCATTTTTCTCATATGAATAAACATGGAAATGACACTGTCACTGGCTTTGTGTGAAAGCGCTAGACTTTCACAAAGTAAAAGCCAGAGAGAGGCGTGGTTTCCTGTCGTCTTCTTTGCTTTACTGAACTTTAATTTTTTTATTGGACTTAAGATACTGACAAGGTTTCTTTTCCCTGTGTTGGACTGGATAATTGTTGTTATTAATCATCATTAGAAGAGTTTATGAAAATATGTGAAAGGCTCAAGGCTATGTAATACATGAGAGGCACAGGCTGGGGCTAGTCACAGCCAAATAAAAGTAAAAACCAACATAAAGTGTCTCAGTAACGTGCTGGGCCACCATGTGCCTCCAGAACAGCTTCAGTGCACCTTGGCATTGACTCTCCAAGTCTCTGAACTCTACTGGAGGGATGAACACCGTTCTTCCAAAAAATATTCCCTCATGTAATGTTTTGGTGATGGCAGTGGAAGCACTAACAAGTCGCTCCAAAATCTCCCATAGGTGTTCAACTGGGTTGAGATCTGGTGGCTGTGAAGGCCACAGCATCTGATTCACATCATTTTCATCCTCATCAGACCAATCAGTGAGCCCTCATGCCTTGTGACTGTTTGCATCATCATCCTGGAGGAGACCATTCATTTATTCAGGTTTTTCCTTTAATTTGTCACCAGTCAGTATTTTCTAACTTGACTTTTCTAACTGTAGATGCAACGACCACTGCTTCTGTCATTTCAGTGAATTAGCATCCTCGCTGCAGCACATATGCCAGTGGAGAAATACAAAGGGTGAGTGCTGATTTATTCAGAAATGGAGCAGATGAAGGAAACAGAGCAGTTCTTAGAACATCGATATTGGCCACAGAAGTTGGTCTGCACTTGGCGCATGTGTACAGTATGTGTGTGTGTAATATGAGACCAGATGGACTGTGGACAATGCCAGAGGAGGAGATGTGCTCTGAGGCTCAGTGCCAAGAGCCAAGTTACACAAACACATAAAAAGTAATGCATTACAGACACATTCCCACACATATTCTCCAAAACCTGGCCAGCTAAAGTCTATGTTCACATTGTGCACAGTACTGTCTTTTTATTGAGTCATTTTATTTATTTATTGCCTATAATTGTTGACCACCACCCAGTCCAAATATCAACTGAAGCAGCATATGCAAAATGAATCTGCAAAGCCTTTGTTTGTTTGGACAGTTTGACATGAAAGACAAATAAATTCTACATCACACACAGAGGATATGATTCAAAGTAGCTGCAAAAAAGGAGTTTATTTCATAGCCTTGCTGTTTCTGCATGCCAGGATTCTGGGTGATCCCATGCAGAGGAACTCAAACAACTTGACAGCTCAGACGTTGCTCACATACGTTATAAACTTTAATTAATTAATGAAAACAGCAAAAGTCTGCAGAGAAAGACCAATCAAATAAAATAACACAATAGTAAATTGTAATAAAGTGGCTAAACAATAATATAATACAGGAAGAGATGGCACCGTAGATGTGTTGTCGGTATCATGTAAGAATCCTGGTTTTTACAACTCTATTTCCCTTTCCAGTTCGGTGTCCTGTGCTTCCAGTGCCCATGAGAACCCCTGGTGATGATGTGGTGAAGAGTGGGCTTTCGAAGGTGAGAGGATGACATGCATTCAGTGGACCTCAATGAACCCAGGTCGAGTCACACAGTGTGCTGACGGACATGCAGCAGGTGTGCACTGTACAGAGGCTGTGGGCCAATATCTGGAAAGAAACCTAGACGTACTGAGAGAAGAAGGTTGGTTAATGGAAGTCACCGAGTTCAATACATACATTTCAGGTTAATTAAGCAAAAAATTCAAGATAGAATAAACAGTAATCAGCTATGAATCAGTATCATATTGTTAGTTCACCCTCTTTAGGTGAAGTGAAGTCTTCTCTGGTGATAATGTGGCGTGGTCCTTATGTGCAACATCAGAGTCTTTAGAACCCTGATTCAATGGTGGAATGAAGGAAATGTGGAGACGAGCTGAAGAAAAAGGCCAGAGCCTGTTCTGATTCCTTTTCATCCACGCAGGCCTGACAGCAGAGTATGAGAGGCATCACACTCTCCCTGCTCTTTGTGAAGTTTCATCGGTTTACCATATGCATCAAGAATCACTGCTCCACTGGGATAGATGTAACATTGTCCGCACACACCAGTCCCATAACTTGGTACGTCTGTCTTCACTGCAAATGGCAAATAAAGTGGTATTCTTAGGGAACACAATGCAGTACCTCAGCAAGCTTAAAGATTTCACTCACCTTTAATACGTAGGGAGTAAATAACGGTTGAGGCTTCACTGTGAAATATGGAAGTACAAAAAAGACGCTACCTGGAACAATTGAACACAGGTATAAAACATGTTCTTGGCTGTAATACAACTAATTAATTAACACATATGAAAACTGCCATGAATGTCTTTGCCAAAAGTTAATTTACTTTAATAACAACAATATCAATTATTCTCCCCATTTCTTCAGTTTTAACAATTACCTGATGAAGTGATCCATCACATCATACAATGGGAGAAAGAAAGATCAATTCCTGAGGCGTTTTTGAAGTCTGACAACTACTGTGTGTGTGTGTGTGTGTGTTGCCATGGTGGCAGGTGGCACAGGTGGCTTTTATCTTTTTCAAACACACACACACACACACACACACACACACACACACACACACACACACACAGATTGGCATCAGCCTCCAAAGTGGTATAAGTTTAACCTTGGTATTTTTTACCAAACCAGACAAACAGAAGAACGTCTGAGATTGTCTGAGAGAGTCCCTTTTTACTGCAAATTAAAATGTTGTAGCTTTCTTCATCTGATTTTATGGGGAACATCTGGATGTCTCGCACTGCTGGGTGTTTCTGTGCTGCCCAGCTGTGAGGGCAGAGGGTAATGAGCAGGTATCAGACAGGCTCCTGTAGATAAGCTGGGCTAGGTAAGCTGCCCAACAGCATCTGAAGCCACTGTGCCAACCTGACTTAGTGCTGTGGCATTTGTTTATCTTTGAAAAGTTTTTTTGAAAGCTTTATGAGAACATACATCTCGTGCTGTTGCTCAGATGTTTTGTAAATAATTACTGAAAAGGGAACAGAAATTTGATTCAGCTTTTACAGAACATGTGATTTCTTTGTTCATCACTGTTGTGCAGATCAAGGCTTTACTTACATTTACTGCCATACATGCAGGGAGGATGATGTCATTCCCAAACTGGGAGAGATGACTAGATCTGTGTCACACCAGTGTCAGATATGTCCCTCAGTTTAAAAATTACAGCCTTGAAACATATTTACAGTAGGTGATTCTCCTTTTATAAGGATAAACTCCTTTATTTGGCCAAGTATGTTACACACACACACACAAGGAATTTGTTTCTGATACAGAACTGAGGCAGCCATCTGCGGCGCCAACTTACACCGATGGCTTTAACAATCGGGGGCAACTTGAGGGGTTCAGTGTCTTGCCTCAGGACACTTTGACGTGTGGACTGCAGGCACCGAGATTCAAACCTCCAATACTTTGGTTGGGAGATGACTGCTCTACCCACTGCTCCACGGTCGCCCATCCTTTGTAGCCAACCTGGTGAGCATCACTGAAGCCCATCAACTCCAGTGTCACTCTGGAGACAGTAAAATGCAGCATTCTAACATAGCTACGCCTTCTGCATCACAAAGCTCAGATTTCCCCATGTGTGTGTAGACTCTAGTAAATCAGTGGATAATGTGAGTTTGGCTGTTCACAAACCAGCAGGAGGATAAATTCATTGTGGCTGCAGGAGTTTCTCCCTCATACACCATCTACTGCCCAGAGGACATCAGCCAAACTGTCAAATATTGTGATATTTCTATAAAAGTGTAGGTTTACCAGTGAAAAGCAATCATGATTTTATAGCAGCATCATGCTACTGTATAAATGTAATATCTCCTGAATGTCGTAATGCAGGTTTCCCTCAAACAAAAAGTGTCGCCTGCTCTGCATCCATCTCCGCTGTGACATAAGACTTACCACAGGTCTACTGAGACTGGAATGTTTGCTTTGCTGGTGGTAAAACTGAGCTCTTTAGAAGTGTAAAGGAAATGTTTCAGCAGCAGACCCACGGTGCACAGTTTAGCCGAAACAGCCCCGCGTTAACAATGAGGCCCTTTCACCGTTTAGATTGCATCTAACCACGTCTGGGGAAAAGAGATATAAACAACTTGAATGTTTTAAGAGGAGATGGAGAGATTCAAAGGAATGTCTTCAGTCTACTTGGGCTGCGAGTTATTGTCCTTATCTGCATTTGCTGGGGCTCCCTGCTCGCTGGAGTCCAAAGGCATCGTGATTTGGCAGGATTAGTCGTTATGTCAAGCGGACCAGCATTTTCTAAGCCTGACTTTGGACCTGGCTCCTATTCCCTCCGGTGTTGGGGCCTATTTTTGTGTTCGTTTTGTTTAATTTGCCTTTTCCTTTCCATAACAAGAACGAAGGGAACGTCTCGCACCCAGCAGTGAAAGAAATGGTGTTAGTATTTTTTCTTATTGTTATTAATCTAACAGCCACGTTGCTTCACGTTGGTCTAAATAACTGAGTTGCTTCATGTTGTTGGACGTTCAAAGGAAACGTGCATGGCGTTGATTTGGTTGGAATTTATTCCGCTGGACTACATGAACATTTACAGCTAGAAAAAAACCATTTTGTTCAAAAATATGTTTTAATAAATAAGCTTAAAAAAACATACAATTGACGGACCTTTGGAGACTTGCTAAAGAAACTCAATGAAATAAAATCCATGCAGGGAGTGCCTCTAAATTGCATCGGTCCTTTTACGGGATACCGTCGTACTTACACGGCTATGTACAATATGTATTCATTTCTATATTTAAATTCATACTTTGGTTTTGAAGTCTTTGAAAAACAAAATATATCTCCTCCAACAAACGCTAAAACGGTGGCGTTGCTGACACAGGGTGTCCCAGCGCTGACATCTTTGGCCTCCACACGTCGCAGGGCCCAGTGCGCCAACACGTCTCCAGCAGCGGGACCGATCTGCATCCACACAGTCTCCCTAAGAGCTTGTAGCTGTGGGTCACATTACGCCTTGCCTCTGAGGTCGACTGGGTTTCTTCAACAATCTCTTTGGTCTTCATACTTTGTAGAAGTAAACAGTCTATAGTGGAAGGAAAGAAGAGTATAAGAGATACTGTAAGTTGACAATGTGCGTCTCTGCGAGGGCACTTTGTTCATTCCTATGGGAAGTCATTAATGAATCAGTTATTAGCCACAGAGCTGAGCAAAACCGTATGGAGACATGGTTTTATTCCTAAAGCTACAGAAAAATACAAATCATTTCATTTTAAAAAATAAATAAAATATTTTGCTAAACGGAATAAAAGCGTTTCTGACTTTTAGTTTGAGGCCCTTTTGAGCGGATTAGTGGACAGTGGTAAAACAATCCAACCTTCCCCAGAGCAACACTGAAACCAAAGTTATTACTGAAATATCGGCTTGAACAAAAGTTCACTTAGGTTACGATTTTCACTTTTCATTTTGAAAAACTCCACATATTTGTTTGCATTCTGCCAGTTTGAATCAATGCAGCAACATGAAAATGTTTATTGTTGGAGCTCAGGCTGCTTTTTTCTGCCACAGATCAAGAAAAGAAAAAGGAAGGAGCTTGAAGGCCACTGACGTCCGTCTAGTTCCTACAAAAGGCCAACCCACACGTTTAATGCTCTATTTTCATTTCCACTTTATGGCGATCAATTCAACTCAAAAGTACTCAAAATAAAAGCCTTCAAATTTTCTGTGCCTACGCTAATCACCATAATGAAGCTACTTCTGTGCCCAGGGAAGCAGGTTGGCTTTATAAGACACTGGGAGGTCTGCTGACGACATGTCAGAGCCGTGAGACCTAAACAAACCCTGCTCCGGGTTATCTGAACGGAGCACTGTTATTCCGTGTCACTGTGTGCTCTTATTTAGTCAGGCTTAAATCAGAAGCTTACATTTCACTCCCTGCGTCTTTGTTTTCTTCATAACAGCCATGGCGAGGGCCTCTGTTGAATTATTTTAGATTTACAATGGACGTTGCTGTAACTTATTGCTGTGATGAAGAAGACAGTGACAGTTTAGTTCCCCTAAAGCAGGCAAATGAAAAGGGAAAACACAAGTACAGCTCCAACAAAGTTTACACTCAGCTGTCAAGTCTTTTGTCACAACGATATCTTGAATTTAAAGAGTCATACTTTATCTAGACAGAAACAAACCAGGCTGTAAATCTGCGGAACAACCTGCTGAAATTCTGGCTGCGTCTTAATACAGGCCTCTGTTTTATTGTTTTGTACTGGCTTGAACTCTGGGGTCCAGCTGCCCATTCCTGCGGTCTCCATACAGGAAAGCATTCAGTTGTGGATATAGGTGACGCGTGTTGGCACCACAGCTGTGTTTCGGTCATTTTTTTACCCCCTCATTATAAAATGCTGCTAAGACAGACTAAATAATGATTAACTGCACAAGTCACAACAGGCTGCTTTAATGCGTTCCTGGTAAAAACAAATAGAAGCGACAGAAACAGACAGGCATATCCTTCATTGGGTCTGACAGGTGTAAATGTTCCAAAACCACTATTTGTACTAATTCTCCCACTTCCCTCCGTCTAATCCCCCTCTCAAAATAAATGATGTTCATTTTTCCACATCCTGAACTGGACTTAGGGGTTTAGCTTTGACTGGATCCTTGTGGAATCTTAAAAGTATCAACAAGGAATATGATTGATCAGTTGTCACCAAGAGGCCGCGCACAGCAGCACCCCAACTGCGAACGCGCAGGCAGGCTGACAGGATGCTGAGGCCTCGCTACGACATCTGGCACACGCATAACAGGCGTGCAAAGCTCGGGCAAAATTTGGAGCCCATTAAATTTTGATACATAGCCAGTCGAGCTGTGCTGTTTGACCGTTCAGAATATATATTTATATATATAATCCACATGGAAATATGGCAATAGATAATAAATGACACATTGAAGACACGTGACTAAATCGCCACCACGCTACTATTCACAATTAGCAGAACATAGATAGAGAAGAATCAATGGATTTGTGAGGGGATTTGATTGTGAGACCATTTAAAATATGCGAGGTGCCTCCTCACATGCTGTTTCTTCATTGTTTGTTGTTACATGAGCGATTGATTTCCGCTGCTAAGCCACTACTTGTCCCTTCCCATAATAACCCCCATTACTACTTCTGCTTTTAATACTAATACAATTCGATTATCCTCGCTTCGGTCTTGTGGTACCCACCGCTTTGGCATTGTAAGTCAAGGTCCTTGGGTGCTAGTGAGATGCTGACATAGACCAAGCGCCCTCCATCCTCCACACCGAGAACGCGTAACTGAGCCTTTCGTGCGCAACGTAGCTGCAGCTGGACATCTTGCTGTCCATCTCGTCGCTCTGCAGCACCTGACAGAGAAAGTCAATGTATCTGGAGGCGAGCTTCAGTGTCTGTATCTTGCTCAGTTTGTCCGACGGCAGCGTGGGGATAATTTTGCGCAAAGACGCAAAGGCCTCGTTCAGAGACTGAGTCCGTTGCCTCTCCCGGACGTTGGCCAGGACCCGCTGATTCTGCAGCTCCTCGTAAGACTGAGTGCTGCTCGGACTCGTTTTCTTGCCCCGTTTCACCGGCCCCGGGCTGCTGCTGCTGCTCTCCTCGCTGGACTTTTTGCTGTGTCTCCTCTTCCTTGCAAAGCGTTTCTGCTGTCTGTCCAGCTCCTCCTCGCTGGTCACCAGACTATCCACAGGGGAGACCGGAGAACTGGAGCCCTCTTCCATTTCTTTCTTGAAGAAATGCAGGGATAAAGAGGAAAAAACGCTGTCCACCTTTGAAGCCGTGGTTACAAAATGTATAGATATCCGTGAAGATGAGGGGGATTCAAGATGCCTCTCTCTTTCTCTGCTGTTCACCTTAGAAGAAAGTGGTTTCAAACTGAAGGTTGGCACGATTCTACTCTCGCAAATTTTTCCCTTAAATATTTCTGGAAACTTTATCCCAGTTTCAGTTGCTAAATAGTTTTGAGAGTGGAGGGGGAGGGGTTTACAGGGCGGAGCGGGAGCTAGTGTCTTGGTGCGCTAATAAGCAGGAGGGAGCAGTCATGGTTTCATGTGACTGAAACAAGGCTCTTATTTACAGTCAGAAACCACGGAAAGTGTCCTTTCGTTCGATTGATCTGTTTGCACATTAACCAGAGCATTTCTGCTTTATTTATGATCCAACTAAGTATCAACCAGTGATTCATTATTTATTGTAATGCTTCTAATTGTCCCGAATCACCCATAACCATTCATGTGTCCTTTATACCTGATATGTAAAGAGTTTTAACAACATATCTTCTCTGTCTAAACCCCCCAACGTTCTCTAAACATTAGCCCTTACGCATTCATTCAACTACTGAACTGACTTCTGTGTAACATGCCTTGGTTCTCGGAGGGTTGAGGCCGAGTGCCACAGTGCAGCTACTCTCCGTAAGGCCTCTCGTCTGTGCACACAGCGCATCCATGTATAGTACAGTAAATACGATGGCTTCACTGCAGTGTGGAGTAAGGTGCTCTGTGGAGGACGATTCGCGCACAAACTCATCGGCCTAAGGGAAATATATCCACTTGTTGTGTAGTCGAACCAAGTCTGTGAACTCTCACAGTTCTATAATATGGAAGTCAAACAGGAAGGAGGCTTAAACTAACCGAGGAGCTCTCCGGTTTCTACCTCCAGTGGACAACGTCTACAAGCGTTTTGTCAGCGGTCCACCTCTTCATCTGTCTTGTCATGTTTTCCCTGCACAGCGCGGCGCACAGGTGGCTCAGATTACAGAGCTGAATTCATCCACTGCCAAAATGTCCAAACCAGCTGATTCACCTCTGCAGATTTCCGAGACGGTAATAGTTGTGTGGTGTTTTTTTGGCTACAGCCAACGTTCTTTAACTCCTATAAAAGGCAAAAATAGCGTTTAACTAGCCGCTTTATTGTTATTGACAAAAAGGACCAGGAGACAAAAAAAAAAAAAAAAAAGCTGCCCTTGGGGGGCATTTTTTTTTTTTTTTGCAAGATATTTCTTATAGTATTCTGTATATAAAGGGTTGGTTTACTTTAATGTCTTACTTTAAGGAAAGTTATACCTATTTAACAATACTGAAATCACACATTTACTGCTTGTTTTATGAAAAAAACTACAATAAATGACATTGTTAGACTACACTACAACTCCTTATTAAGGAAACAACGTTCATTAATCAAAGTGTACTGAATTATTGTCTCTTGTTAGGAAACTATTTTTCACACAGAACTAAGAGTGTTCACTTGGTACTGGGATGTATCCTAATTTTCTCTTGAAAGCTCTTTTGGCCTATATGTGACCTTCTGTTTAGTGTTTTGGCTCCAGCTGGTAATGGTGACTGTCACATTACTTTTACTCAGTGCAGAGCTTTTCATTCTCACCCTGGGAAACTAGTTTAGATCATGCAACGTCTTTATAAAGAGGGTGATTGTTTCACACATGCAAATATGAATATAATGCTAAAATAGGTGCAAGGGCATTAAAAGGAGCATGCACATGTAGTGGAACACACACAATCGCACACACTTTCCCTGATTATGCCCTCTGACCTTCTGCTCCCTGGCTCAGCTGCAGGAGGCCTCTGTGCCCAGGGGAGACTTGCAGAGTGAGAGGCTGATCCTGCACAGCGTCTCTGAGGTAGGTTCCACATATACACACATCACAAGAAGAAAAAGAACAAGAGGGGCCTCTAACCAGCACTTTTCCATACACTGTATAAGCTAATATTAAAAAAAAAAAAAAAAAAAAAAAGAGGCATGCAGCAGACGATGAGGACAGGTTGCTCTGGTCTCCGGCTTCCTGAATTCACTCCCAGTCAGAATATAGTGTGTAAATAATGTGATAAGGTGGGAAAATGTTATAAACACAAACTTTAATGAATTTAATTTTTTAAAAAGCTGCATAGTCTTTTTTTCATGTAATTCTGTTTTGGGTATAAGAGATATTACAAGTTTGAGCTTTAGCCATACAAGTAGAATTTGACTGATGAGATATAAACCTCAGAAAGATCTGTGAACATGTTTTGATATGGAAATATAAACAGTAATAATCATCAAAACTCTATAACTCCCTGAGGATGCTGGTAAATGATTCATGTGTATCTCACTCAACACTCAGCGGGGTTGAGGGGAATTCTATGGCTCCTCCAAAAACCCCCTGAGAGATGAGCAAAAGAGAGGCAGAGACAACAAAATGAAGTGAGACAGAGGAGGAGAGAGAGGGATGACCTGCCTCAGATCAAAGACGAGCTCAGGCCATAATTCAGCAGAGCGGGATGACGTACCTCTGTCTTGTCTGACACCTTTAAAACCAGCTTCACGTGGGTCGAGGGCACGGCCTTAATGAACCCAGAGCCTTACTGCTGTCGCACCAGTGAAAACACATCCTGGTCCCATGTGCAGCCTTCCTCTTTCACAACAGCCTTGTAAATAGAAACGACTAGTCGTGAGACAAGAAGTGAGACTGAGAAGTGACAAGAGACCAAAAACAGTTTTGATGGGAAAGCGAGAGGATACAGATGCAAACAGATAAAACAGTCCAAATGTATGGATGTGTAATGATTCACAACAGTCTTTGATCTGACAAAGGGGGTTATGGATGTGTGAGGGAAGAGATGATTTGTTAGAGGCTGTGGTGACTGGAATTTCACTGTCCATGTGTCTGCCAGGATGTTACCTCTGACTTCAACATCCCCAAATACTTGTGTAGCTCACCCCATATGATCTTGGCAAGAGGATCTAAAGCCAAGGCCTCTGAGCAAGCATCAGCATATGTCTGCTGGCGGATCTGTATATGTGCTTTTAACACATTTACAGTATACATGATCACCAGTTTATTGTTGTGCATCAGTGTATATACAACTGCCTTTTCATACAATACATGCATCTGCATGTGTGTGTGTGTGTGTCAGAAAGTGATTCAAGATGAACCAAGAGAAAAGGTCCAGCTGGTTCTCACTACACAGATAGGAGCAGTGCAATGGCTTTTTAAACTACTTGTATCGCCGCTAGAGCAACCACTTATTATTCACATCTGAACTACTACCCAACAACAAAACTATTATCTTTACACAGAGGTTAAAGGTGTGCTGCTAAACTCTGACATTAGCAAAAAAGTGTGATGACTCCTGAGAAAAACATCTATGTCTGTTTATGGTGTAGATCTTTTCCAGTAAGTTGTGAAAATGTGACTCCCAAGTCAGTTCTGACAACAAGTTGCGTGCCAGGCTTGGTCGTAACTCAATTTGAAGTTGAATGTGAGATATATGTGAAAAACATCCCAGCCTTGATATAAAAACCAGTTGATTACATAACTTCAGAAGAACAATGGTATCAGTCAGAACATATTAAACCTTGTTTTTATTCTTGCTAAGTGTCTTGTTAAATGTTTCTCTTCAGCTGTTGCAGTTTCCCAAAGGGCACAACCACAGATTTTCATTTAGTCACAGACAGTGTTTCTAATAAGAGGCTGTGTTTACCAGAGGCCTTTACAGTGAATCAAACAACAGGCACTATCAGTACAAGGTAGATATTGGGCTATAAAACCATAGGCACCTACTCTTCAGTAACACCAGCAGGCCATTCATTCATGCATCCACACTTTGCTGTTCTGCTGCCCCAAGCCTGATGACAAGGTGTTTCTGAAATCGCATTAGGGGCCCTTTCATAAAGGTTTCTTTGGGGAGTGTGTAGCAGCTTGAAGCATTTAGGCTTTGTTTAATACGATGCAGACTCGCTGCTCGATGCTTTGTCTCCTGTGTGGAAAGGGGCCTGGGATGCCAGAGACCCCCACTGTCGGTGTTTGCTTTGATATGTGGAGGTGAAGGGGGAAATAGAGTAGAATAACCCCTTCTCCCCCTACACACACAGACACACACCACCAGCACCACATCCACCCCCCAAACCTGTGTGTTGAATACCTGACTCTGGCCTGTTGCCTTGTAGAGTTATGATCATCCAGTGAACAAGCCAAGCTTTGAAGTGCAGCTCCCCAAGGCCTCACACCCTATGGGAGATGTGTGGCGTGCAAAGAAAACCCAACAACACAAAACATGATCTACAGTGTAGTTGCCATTTCAGACACATGCTGTATCTGTTAGCTCAGGTGCCCTATGTCCAAAAGACACCAACACTTCAACACATGAACAGGGGTAGTCGAATTAAACCTAAAGGACCTAAACCTAAATAAAACAACCTACTCTGTCCTTCTACAAATTTCTATATGTATACAGAGATGGATTAGCTGTGGGAGCTGCAGATTGATGTGTTGTTTATTTGGTCAGTTTGGTCCAATAAGAGAACGCAGTTGGCACAAAGTCACTCAACTCAAATACACTTCATGGACTTGACAGTTACAAAAAACAGTGTTGCCAGAGCAATTATGTTGACTATAACACAATTATATTCATTATGCATGTAGCACTTCCAGAATCTGAACTTTAACCAGGCTGAACAGGAGGGGAGGGGGCAGGTCTTGTTGATAGGGTCAGAGTTAATTTGCTGAACAAATGACAGAGGCAGTGTGCACTCAGCTGCTGATGGGGGCAGCCCCCTGCACAAATAACGTCACCTAATTAATGCTGCACTTGTGACCCTAGTGCCAAGGTTAGCATGATGGCTGGCCCAGGTTCACGGTGTGATGTTTTAGCCAGGCGACCTGACTAGACCGAGCTACAGCGAGGTTAGGCTCAGCTCAGGCAGTTATGAGGAAGGCTGGGCAAACAGTGCTGTTGTTTGTTCTGCTGATTGGGCTAGGGATAAGCAGAGTGAAGCTCGCTGGATGTCAACACAGGGGAAGCATTTACAGTCCACTGTCACTGCCTCAGTGTCACCTGTGTCAC